AGGGCTTCAGTGAGCCTAAAAGCAGAGCCTGGCCCTTAGGACCTATCCTGTTGTTCTCAACACCATCTGGTGCAGGCAGGCTGGGTAGATAAAGCTCTCTGATCACAGTAAATGGAAAGGATAGAGCACCCTGGGGCAGGAAGGGAATAAGTGAGAATGAATTAAGTTAGGAGACCAGGATAGATGGAAAGATGGGAGCTTGGGCTGGTGCTGGGAGTTCCCTTCTTCAGGGATCAGCTCCCCACAGGCTCTGCAAGGAAGAAGCAGCAGGACACCCCCTTGAGTCATGTGACACTCCATGAGACAGGCAACCCCAGACTGTGCCCCTGGGCATCAACTTGCTTATCTTTTTCTCGTCCATATCCGTGAGATGCCTCCCAATACCTCTTGTCTCTGACTTCTTGTTTTCCAACCTTGGCTTGATTTTTAATTCGTTTATGAACCTGTTTGTTATATATAGGGTGCTGCATACAAGTTACATGAAATTGGACTCCAAATGGCTTAATTCTTTTTTTGTGTGTGGGGCACAGAGAGGTTCCAAAGATCGAACCCAAGTAAACCTCAGGCATGGTAAAGGACTGTCAATGTTACCCTACCTTCCATCATGCTGTTAAGACTTACTTAGCAGCAGCAGCGTGGCCCCAGTCCCTACTCCAAAGGGGGAAGCTATACATACCGAGTAGGGATTGCAAAAACAAATACAGTGCGAACTGTAGACACATAATCCTGACACGTCACCTGGCTGAACTTTGGTAGCGGAAGCTCAAGGAACATAGACTTATGGTTTTGTGTATATAGACATTGTCCTGTAGTCCAAAGGATGTGACTGCATGGCAGATGGGAACCTGGAACACTGGATATCATTTTAATTACACTGCTTGTTTCCAGGTTTCTGGAAGTTTTGGTGTCACAGCTGAATGCTAAGGCCTAGTTTTTGCTGGCAATGTGGGTAGATTTGATACTCCTTTGTCCGTCAGGCAGATCTCGTGCATAAATGGAAAATTTATATTTTAAATACTTTCCTCCCTGATTTTATTGAAATTTTAGAGATGCTTCCTGGGGGCGGAGGGATTTGCAAGTTGTTACATGCTAATTTCGAAGGACCATGTTTATTTCTTGTGGCAAACCACGTGGATGCTGATTCCTTATGTATCAGCCTCAGGTTAAATGCACACCCTAAGCTGCCACATGGGGGACTACTTAGGGACTCAAGTTGGCGAGGTAGGCAGGTGGATAGACAAGCAGGAGAGAAAATCCCCACAAATGCCCAACGCCCTCCCAGGTAGAGAGGGTCTGGGGCGCAGGCCTGGGTCACCCCACAGGGCAATGCTTTCTCTGAGGGCAACACTTCCTGAGGCCCAGTCTGGTCCTGGATTTGCCCGGGGAAGACCTTTTAGTTCGCCCCCGGAGTGTCCCCACTCTGCGCCCAACTGGAACAACCTGCCGTCCTCTTTTCCAGCGTGGGACCCCCTTCAGCCTTCCTCACTCCTCCTGCCTCTGGGGCCTCATCCATGCTCGGCCCCCAATTGATTCCTGTTCCTTCCTCTCTCCCCCTATTCCTCACCTCCATTTCTCCTCGTCTTGCACTCACTTTATGCCCTCATCCGTCGTTTCTCTTGCCCCTCTCCTCCTGCCTCCCCCGCACCCATTCACCCTCCTGCCCGTCGTGCCCCTATTCAACCTTCCTCCTGCTCCCCACCTCCCTCTCCCGTCCCAAGCCGGTTCCGGGACCCCTGACAGCAACTCCCCAGACGGCAGCGCGAGCCCCTTACCCGGGCGCGGCAGGCCTGCGGCGGCCCGGCGGCCCTCAGACGGCTGGGAAGCGCCCGCGACCCGGCGCGGGGACGTGGCCAGCAGTGGAGCCAAGACAGCTTAGGGCAGCGCGCCCTGCCGGGGCCCCGCCCAGGCCGCCCGGAAATGACGTCACGGAGGCGGGTCCGGGGCGGGGCGGCCTGGCTGGGACGGGGAGTGGCCTTGGTGGTGCCTGGCGTAGCCGGATGCGAGCCGGAAGCGAGGGGCGTGGCTTCACTTAGGCCCCGCCTCCCCGGGCCGGCTCGGGTCACGCCTAGCGCGTGGCCGGAAAGAGCTATTTTCGGCAAGTCTGCGGCGGAAGAGGGCGTTCAGAGGGTTCGGTCGCTGTGCTGTGCCTGCGGTGTCTGGGGGTCCCAGGGTGGGGCAGGTAGCGCTCAGACGCACCTCGACGGTGCACAGGGAACTGACCGCGAAACGCCTCGTAAGACCTTTCGCCCGAGCCTCCTGCTACGTTCCTGCGCTTCCTCCCCCTCTTGTGTCCAGCCGCTGCGGGAGGCTCCGGGTGTCCTAGGAGTCATGGTAGGGTGGCAGCTAGCGGTTTGTGCACCTACAGTGTGCCAGGCCCGTCCTAAGCACTTTCCCTGCAGGATCACTGACTTAATAATGCAGTAGCGCCGTGGAGGAAGGAGCTTCGCCCCCAGACTCGGGGCGAAGTGCTTTGTAATTGTAAGACGTGAGGTAACAATGGGCATAACGGAGTGGAGAGGAAAGTGTGTGGGACTTGACTTTAATTAGAAACAGGCCTTGCAATTTACTAGTTCTGTGACTGAATCCCAGTCTGTGTAAGACCCTCCGGCATCCCCAAGTCCAAACCAAAACCTTCCTGTCAAGGATGATCTCACAGGAGTAAACCATAAAGGCTTTATTTCCAGTTTTATAACCTGGTTGGGTCTTGGGCTAGGAAAATAAACCAGACACAGAAAGCTGAGAGTGTGCAAAGACAGGCTCAACTATCCATCTGCGAGCTCTGGGAGCACCTGAAATTCGATTTAGAATGTCACCACCGCCGTCTCCACTTCACCACTTCAACCTCACAGTTTCATGTTGTGTGGAACTTAACCTGCAAAGACATGGGTTTGCTGAGACCCAGGCCAGCTGGGAGACTATGTGAAGACACGATCGTTTTGCTTTGTATTTGCTTTAATTTTTCCAGTTAGGTCTAACATGAAGTGCGTTATCCATGCTCACTTTGGAAGTGAAAAGATACCCAAACAGCCAACTGTATTTCTGTTTGCTCACCTCAAAACTCAACGTCTATAACTGTGTTTTCATTTTCTCTTTGGCAAAATGGGGACAATTTTTACTGCTGAGGCTGAAATTACAAAGATAAGACACAGCCCCTCCTTCTCTCTAGAGCAGAGACAGCTGGCCAACCATCTGCTTTTGCAAATAAAGTTTTGTTGGAACACAGTCTTGCCTCTTCATTAGGTATTGTCTGTGGCTGCTTTTTTTTATATTTTATTTTCAATGTGGCTGCTTTTTCCATAAAAGGGCAGAGCTGAGTAGTTGCAGCAGAGTCTGTATGGCCCACAAGGCCTAAAATATTTCCTCTCTGGCCCTTTATAGAAAATGTTTGCTGATCCCCACTCTAGAGCATTACTAGAAAATGGGTTTCAGACAACATCAGAAATACCTGGCCAGAACACTGTGACACATGAGGAGACTCATTCTCATATGGGGATCTATAGCCTGTCGATGGATTGGGGTCACCCGGAGGCAAGTGTTCCTTGAGGGCACAGCTCTGGGAACTGCATAGCTGCTTCTGTAGAGTATTAGGAAGAGTAAAGCAGAGTAGGCCAACGGCTTCTGGTGGCTGTGGATGAAATATATAAAGATACACTTAAATCCTCCAGTTTTTGTCTCAGGGCACAGATCATTTCATGTGCTTTTTGTGCAGAAATAGCTAAATAAACTCAGGGCTTGGTCCTCTTAGTTGCTGAATTAATGTTATTTGAATGTAAGTCCTCAGTGGATGCCACATTAGAAAGTTAGGGCGCTGGAGCAACACTGCCTGGCTTCAAATCCTGGCTCCTTCATTTTTTTCACCGAGTGACAACAAATAAGAGGTTTAGACTGTGCCTCAGTTTCACCATACAGTTGATTCTGGTATTTGCAGTAGTTACGTTTAATAAAGTCATCGAGTACACTGATTTAGGAAATGCTGCTCCTAGGGAAAATACAGGATTAGGTTCCTGTGAGCTTCTGGCTACAACATTTTTATCAATTGATCAATACATAACCTTGTTTTTGTATTTCTTTTTAGAGACATTTAATGTGTATTATTGATTCATCAACATTGAACCCACGGCCAACAGCACTGTAACTTACGCCTAAACAAAGCTTATCTAACACACGTATTTTCTCCCTAAGGCCTTTTGCACTCAGGGACGCTAGAATCCTAGACAGCACTTCAGCGTTAGGCGCGGGGCCCATTTTAAATGACAAGATCACCAACAAAAAGCACAAAAATTTGCAAAACATGGCATTACATAGACCCAGAAAGGGGCACAATCGGAACAAGAGGGCAGAGGGAGCGTCAGCTTGCTAGATCTCCTCTGGGAACACGCACATTGGTGACTTGAAAGTTCCTCCGTTCTGTGCACATGTGTGCACACGCCTTTAATGACCTCAAAAGCGCGACAAGTATTGATTTGGGGGTTAGAAATAAATTTTACCTCGCAAGTGAATTTGCAAATTTGGACTCCACTTACCATAGGATCAACCATATGCTAAAATAGAGAAATAATAGGACCTGCCTCATCAGATAGTTACGAGAATTAAACGATAAATAAGTACCAGTGCTTATAATGGGCATTATACATACTTAGAGCACTGGTGAATATTAGCTATTGTTATTACTGATCCTGCAAGAGCAGGACTCTGATATTTGGAATAGGGATCTCTAGAACTGTGGGATGACTTAGAGTCCCTGAGTCCCAAACCGTTCTGAACTCCCTCCACGGTGTCACACCAGGCAGACCCTTCCCTTGTCACAGGAAACTCTCTCTTCCCTTCTGGAAGTTTCTTCTCTCATCAAAGGGAGTTCCCTTTCAGGAGAGGGCCAGTACCTCCCTCCATGCTCTACCCTTTATTGCCATTATTTGCAACTAGAACGTCCATTTTCATGCTCTGAACACAAAACTAAAGACATTAACATTTTGAGACTAAAAAAGAATACTTGCTGAGGATAGGCACAGGGAGGGTCACTTCATGATGATACAAAATTCAACTCACCTGGAAGCTGTGACAATTCTAAACATTCTAAATTGGAATATGCCAATAACAAGACCTCAAAATAGGTAAAGCAATATTGGCAGAACTAAAAAGAGAAATAGAAAAATCCCCAACATAAGGGAAAATTTTAATACACTTCTTTTAGTAATGTATAGAACAAGCAGTCAAAAATAGAAACCAGTAAGATTATTACAGACTTGAACGACACACTAACAAATCCTGGCTAAAGAGCATATATCGACCACCCTACCTAATAACTAGCTGGATTTGCTCATCACATTTGCAGGTAACTCTGACTTAGACGAGTTATGAATGACACAATGTAGAGTTTCAGACTGTGCTTTGGCTCATCTGGCCTTGTGTTGGCCCCAGAGGACCACCTTGTCCTGGGCTCTGTGAGGGGGGCAGGGCAGAGGAAGGTCTACTGGTAAACCCTGGGCCCTCCTGCACCAGAAACCTGCGGCTTGAGGCTGCCCTGGAAAGCTCAGAGCAGGCGCAAGGAGCGCTGCTTACCCCGGCATCTCTCGGCAGAGCGGCAGAGCTCGATGCTGCCCTTCACGGGCAAGGGCTGTGGTGCTGCTGGACGCGTTCGCATTCCAGGAACCCAAGGAGCGTGATTCAGTCTCCCAGACGCGGAAAAGTGAGGTGGAGCAACTCTGAGGTTGAGCAGGAACTCTTGGCAGAAACGGTTGTTTAAAAATTGTTTTTAGATGTTTATGCAAACAGTACAACTTGAATATCCTGGTTACTAAAATTTTGAAGAGGTCATCATTAAAAAATCTTGATCAGGGAGTCTTTGTGGTCATTGTAAGCATACATATTCACTAAGAAAGACATATGGGTGGAGAAGAAATGATGGGAATCTCTAATATAAATTTAGTGGAAAAGGACTGATGTCGTTCCATAAAAACTCCTGGTAGACTAGAAATAGAAGGATATTTACTCAACATGACACAGAATAGTTATTTCAGGCTGTTATTCTACATCATACTTACTGACTTGAAAAAGCTAGAGGCGTTCCTAGGAAAATCAGAAACCACGTGCCTGTTCTCAAGCTTAGTGGACTTCGGCTTTTCTAGTCAAAGCAATGAGATAAGAATAAGTAGAGTATAATTTTCAAGACAAATTTTCATTATTTACATAAGATATGACCAACTACCTAGAATATCAAAGAGAGCCAACTTAAAATCAATTAAAACTTACAAGAACAAGTTAATAATTTGGGCAGTTGCAAAATAAATACGTCAGTAGATTTCTCATATACCAACAAAAATAAGCTAAAAATTTTAAATGTCAGTTATTATGATAACAAAAATATAAAATACTTAGGGATTCAGTAGTGAGAAATATTCAGGATATCATTAAAGATGTAAACTTTCCAAAATTAATTCATAGGTTTAATGCAATTTTAATACAAAAACTCATTTTGTGTTCTTATGGAACTTAAGAAAACAATTCTGACATTCATCTGTAACACCAAATGGTCAAAAATAGCAAGGAAACTGTATTTCTCAAAATGTCTATAAAATATGTATTACTTCCAAAATTAATTCATAGGTTTAATGCAATTTTAATACAAAAACTCATTTTGTGTTCTTATGGAACTTAAGAAAACAATTCTAAAATTTATTTGGAAAACTATAGGGCCAAGAATAGCTAGGACAATTGGGAATAAAATGAGCAGGGAATTG